TACAACGTTATTTCGCTCCGGAATTACGGAAAAGATACGTTATTTTTATTGAATATTTCTCTCCATGCATAAAATTCTCGACGAAAAAAATTCTCGCAGAAATTTTTGCATCTTCTTAGATACTCAACAAAAACTTGTCCTGAGGTTCAGTCTACTTACCCTATATCTCCACTCCACCACTGAATTAATATAATGATGAAGAATATTGGAGGCAATGAGACTGGAACGGTCAGGGCCGTCAAGGCAAAGTCCCCGCCAATAACCCAAGGTTACTTAGCAATCCTTTCCACCCGTACCACTCAGAACCATCTCCCTAAACTACTCTACACTGATAGAAAAAAACATGAAAATTTCACAGCGAGTTGACTGATGATTTTGAGGAGAGTGACATTGAATTCGATTTGCGGTGAAAAAAATTATGAAATTTCAGATTTTACTCGAAATTCAATGATGTTGTAAAGTTTTTAGCAACATGAATATTCAATATCAAATTAATTATTTTTAATTACATTAAATTTTCAATTACTCGAAAACGTTAGAATTCTGAAGATTCACGAATTTTCCAGATTTCTATCAATTTTCATTTTCTACCGGCCAGTTTTCAATGAATATCTCGAAATCTAAAGGAGATAGCAAAATTTTTCTCATAACCTTTTTAGTAGCACTCAATTCACTCTACAAAAAAGGTTATTATAAAAATTTCGCTATCTCTCTTAAATTCGGAAATATTTCTGGAAAACCGTTTGAGTACTTCGCTACTGAAATAATTGGACTGAAATCCCGAGTTTCCATTGATTTTGAATAGAATTTTAAATTTTAAATTATAAAGTGTCTTGAAATTTCAGTGGATCTCCCAGTAAATGCAAATTTCGAAAAAGTGTAAACTGAGAGAAAAACGATAGTTCTCAAACAAGTCTTACTTGTGCCAAAAAATAGTATATTTCGTAACGAGTGCAAAAAAGTGTTTTTTGGCGAGTGGGAGGTTTATATCGCGGAGCGTGCCGAAAAGTTCAATTTTTGTCACAGCGTGATGAAAATGATTTTTTGAAAATTATCAAAAATGGATTTTTTTTGTGCCAAATATGCAGAGAGTGCGACGGAATGAAAAATTTTTGTCGCAAAAATAGATTTAGTAGTTCAAAAAAAATTGCATTCTCTGTACACGCCAGAAATGTCATTTTCATCACGCTGTGACGAAAAGTGGACTTTTCGGCACGCTCCGCGTGCCTAAAAGTCCAATTTCCGCCACATTGTGATGGAAAATATTGTACTATTGTACTATTACTTGTACTATTAATATACTATTCTAGCACTACTCCTTCGTTATTCGATACTCCCATACGTATTTTGCTCCCGAAAAATCTTTGTTTTATGCGAAACAAGGGATAGTAGTTTTTCGTTTCGGCTGTCTAATAATCACAGACAACAAATGAACCCTTAAATGAAACAATAATAATGATATGATAGCAATCTTGTAACTTAGGGATAAAATATTTGTTGATAAATTTTCCTCTGTATGAGATATTTTCATCCTGAAAAGGCACCGTCTGGTGTGAATTATCCGCCTCTTGAGCCAAATATTTCGTTGCTGTCGAAAGCAGAACAATTATTCATGTTTGAGACTTTCAAATTCCAACCAAACAAATTCTTTTTTGCCAATTTTCAATTAGCGATTCTGTTGGCCCAAACAAGACTTGCTTGACAACGTGTTTATTTTTCCCTCAGTGTACCAGAAATTTACAGAAAAATATTGAACAGGATAATCGATCGGTGTTCCGTACTAAAATTTTCCCAGCGCAAATACTCCACCAGAATTCCTCTCCGGATAACTTCCTCAAGATACCGCTGTTCTCCATCGGTGTCTCATGACGTCAAATCGCAATTGAAATAATGACGATATGATACAGACACTTGACTTCCTGGTTCTAAGGGTGAGCTTCAATAACGATTATGTGTGGGTGTAGAAAAAATACATTCGAGACTCGAGTTTTATGGGTTTCTGTAGTGTGATTGGACACTTGAAACTGGCATATGTTCGATGGTGTGCATACAAATCGCATCGTTAACAATCACTCGAGACTTGGGGGCATCGGGTTTTGAGTTGTAACGAGGGATAAACTGTTGAGTAAAGAATCATTTTTTTAATGAGAGAATTACGTTTCGATGAAGTTTATATTCTGCATTGCACTTGAAATTGGTTTCTCTGCATTCATTGGAGTCAATGAATTTTGAAAGATATTGTTGAATAATTTAATGTGACCTTCAGAATTGATGCTGAAGGAAAAATGATTCTTTCATTTATTTTATCTTCAGTTGTATCGCAATTAGTAATTGATGTCTGAGTTTTTGAGGAATATTACCAATTCTAAGGGAGATAACGAAATTTTCGTTATAACCTTTTTTGTAGAGCGAATTGAGGGCTATAAAAAAGGTCTTAACAAAAATTTTGCTATCTCCTCTAAATTTTGAGATATTCATTGATTATAAATGAGAAGTTTCCAATTAATTTTATATTCAGTTCGATTGCTCTTGAAAAACAATCTCCCTCACTTTTACGTGACGAATGAATTTAAAAAAAATGAATTTTAAAAGAGTATCCCACTGGTCAGATATAAATTTTGGATGAAACTTTGGTTTTGAGCTAAATGTGTGAATAAAGATGACACGTAAACTAAATTACTGGGGTTAGGAGTGAAAATTGAAGAAAAAACATCACTGATATTTTAATCTTTATTTATTTTCGCATTTTATTTCATATATTTCTGTCTTTATTCTGTTAGCCAGGAGATCGATCTTCAAACTTTGCACATTTACATTCGTACAAAACTCGTTAATTACATTTTCCTTCATCTTTATCCTCGTGAAATAATTCTTGAGTCGCATTTTCTTGTATTTTTTTCCATTTTTTTTATAATTCTTTTTCATTAATGATGAAACGCGGTATAAAATATTGTATAAATATATAAATACGATTGAAAAAATAAATATATTAAATTAAAAAAAAGAGACGTACACATAACCGTAATATTACTCATCATTAATTATTATAGTGGTCAAGTCTATAACGCGGGTGATCAGGGATAATTGGTAGAGAGGGGGGTAAATGGTATTTACTTTTGTATCAGACGTCTCGAGTCTCTCCGGACATGAAAATATAACAGAGTCGATAGAAAAAAATTAAAGGTTGAAGTTGAAATTTTCCCCAAAATTATTCCACTCTCAACCATGAAAGTCAAACAGCCGGGGCAACGGCGATCTGAGTAGTAATGATAAAAAAAGATAATAATAAAAATTAAAGAAATTGATCGTGCATGCAATGTTCATGAAATGAGAATTCAGTAGTAAAAAAAAATGATCATCTATTTGCCCTCAACTGTTGAAAGTTCACGTTGTGAATGATTTTCATTGAAAATAATAATATTTCCCTCCATAATAGAGTTTTTACACGAATTAAATAAATAAACTGCTCACGAGATACTCAAGACGTCGTTTTGATGAGCTCGGTTGAATTTCTTTGACTATTTCAATGGACTTGTGGTTGAGAAAATTATTGAACATCAAACTCATGTGAAATGTACTTCCATTCGACGCATTTTCACTCTCACACGCTATCATTCTTCATCACTTTCTAATTAAATATACATTTTAATTAATATTTTTGTTGCTTTAGACTACGAGAAGGCACTCAGTGGTATGCTATCAACGTTAATTAATTACTCGTTATTTCTTCGATACATCATTTTGTCTTTTTCATTTTCGTGAATTTTGTCTTCCGAGAAGCACAGAAAGCGAGAGAATGAACATTTCTGTCGATTTATGAAGGAAAAATTTGTGATAAACAGAAGGGATATATAATATATATCAATATATAATATTGGGCGTTACAAAATTAAATAATCGTTAAATAGATAAAGACGATAAATTCGATGATTAATAATTAAATTGTGGCTGGAGACAGCCCTAAATTGAAATCATTCATATTTATGTATTTTCATGAACAAAAAATTGACGGGAGATGGAGCCTTTTCAATCAATTATCGATGGATTTATTTTCTCATGTGAAAAATCATCCAAAGACATGACGTGCGGAGTAGAAAACAAGTGGGATACAATTAGACGTTAGATAATAGGAAAAAAAAATTGTTACAATTAATTAATCGTAATTGTTAATTGATAATTAGTGGTGTTAATAGACGGCGATTAAATTGACTTTGCCATTTTGCTCTTCACTATTCAAAAAAAATTATAATAATAATAATGAGAGATGAAATCGCTAATTGGCGGTGGTTTACTCCTTTCGTTATTGAAAATTGAAAATAATTGGAAGAAATCGAGACAACTGAATCACAAATAAATCACATCACATGGCTTATACTTTCCCTTGAATAATAATTATGGAAAAAAAAACGAGATGATTCACTACTGAGAAGTAATGGAGAAAAAAAAATCTAAGAAAACAAAATAAGAAATTATAGTTAATTGCAACGCAGGAGTCTCGATAAATATATATATTCCCCCATTTTTATCTGAAATAATTCTCCCTTAATTCATCTATCGCAGGATAGTACACAGTATTAGTTAATTAATAATAAAAAATAAACTAAATCTATAATAACATTTCTCAAATTATAAATTAAACGAAAAAAACTTTCATTGTTTCTCCTCAAATCGTAGGAAATATATTTACAAAATGTATTTTCATAGTATGTTTCAATTATTATTTTTGTGTTTTTTTTTCTCAATGTCTCATGTACCACGTCGTGCATTTATTACGGAGAATAATTATTGAAATCAAAGATGACGTGATTAATGAGAATCAAGAGAAATATGAGCAGCGGGCCGAGCCCTATCACCTCCGCCGTTCTCTTCCTCTCAATCTCCAAAAAAAAGAAAATGCTTGAAAATTTTTCTTTAAAAAAAAAACAAACTGCTCGTGAATTTTCAACAAATAAATTTTTCAATTCTGCTCTTAAGTGAATTATTAATAATAGAATGTCTGTTAATCGTAAATATTTCTATTGCAAATAGTTACATATCACATTTTTGTTTTTTTTTCCCCCATTTTCCATTAAATTCATCATTGTTAAACTAAAGGGAAAGAACAACGAGAAAAAGTGATATTTCAATGAGTTTTGAAATTTCCTTTGCTCTTCGTTTTTTCACTTGAAACCCAAACGTTCCCTCGAATGTGCGTTACTGATTTTTAAAAAGCTCAATTTGTCAACAAATGGAAAAGTGAAGCCTTAAAAGAGCCGAGAAAAAAATCATCAAATGAAGTAACTTCCGAGTTAATTCTCGTCTTTTTAAAAATCCATCGCGTCCATTCTGCCTCGTTCTCATAATTTTAATCACATTCATTCTCACTAAGCAAAAAAAAAATATTAATAAACCATTGGAAGACAGTTAAAGTTACTAAATTAGCCGGTAAAATCTACCCTAGACTCTAAACCTCAGTAATGATTACTCTCGCTCACAATTATCGCACACGTCATCACCCAATCTTTGATAATAAATCATCGACAGCTCGACAACTCCATCATTATCACTTTGAAATATTAAAGAAATGAAAGAAAGAAAAACTGAGATATTTTCAAATAGCTCGTGGGAAGACGAGTAAATCCGGTAATCGTCTTCCCAATTTATTTTGGAATATTGCAACGTCTCACCTGCTCGTGATTGTCGCTGAATCACGAAAAAAAAAATAATGTAAATAATAATTCTAAAACTACCGGGTCACACTGTCTTTACAAAAAATCAAACGATGAACGATGATAAATCGTTGACGAATGCATTCACCAGCGAAATTGCAAAAGCCAAACTCGTAAATCTCAAATTATCTCCGGAACGAGTCGCCGTACGTAAAAAAGTGTCAGGACCTTTTTCACCGGAAATTTCCTGATCTACAAAAAAGTTCTCAACAGATTTTTCGCTGCGACCACTCGTTCTCGAGATAAAAGCACAATAATCTCCGGTGTTGTGCAGCTTCGCTGTTGAATCCTTCAAGAATCAAGAGCAATGAAGAAAGGGTGTCAACCTTGAAATTCTCCGTCAAACAGACCTCTAGATCTTGAGACCCTCGAAGTCCCCGATGACACTGCTGATCCTGTTGAAGACAGGAAGCCTAGACTCAGCATTGGGTGACAATGGAGACGGTGTTCTCGGTGCAAGATCATCAGATATTGGGCTGTTGCCACTCGGTGGGCTCGGTGTGTGCCTCGTCTGGAGTAATCCAAAGTCCTGGCCAAAGCTGAAGGCTGTAGTTGGTGCTGATGAGCAATCATCGCTGAAGAAACTAGCCATTGAATTTGTCGGCGATTGACTGAGACTTGAGGATGGCGACACTGAGTCAGCTGTACTGCCAAGTGAGAATGTTGGGCTCAGATTCAATGGTTTGGGTCTTGCTGCGCCGATAACCGAATTGTGATGAACATTGTGGAGATTGTGAGACTGTGGTGTTGTCAGGCTCAACGATGTTGTTCTGAGTAGCGGTGGATTTGTAAATGTCTGGTGTGTGCCTATGCTCAGAGAGTTTGCCCTTATCAGGGGTGGAGGATTGCTCATCACCTGCGGAGCTGTGATCTGCTCCAGCAGGGATATATTCATATTGATGCTTGCTGCTGCTGCACTTGCACTCAGAAGTGGACTCAGACCCATTATATTTGGCTGTGTACTGCCCAACTGTGCGCTCACCTTCTGATTGTGCATCCTCGCTTCCTCAAAGTTGTGGATAAAGTGACAGCGTGGACCGTATGGGCAGAAGCCTATTGTGTGAAATGTGCGACACAATTCGGTCTTGTACTTTGGATGACGTGCCAAATTACGCAGTTCACTGTAACCATGAGCAAATTGACACTTGTCACCGTATTTACAGGCACCGGACTCCTCGAATGGACGACAGAGCTCTGTCTTGTAGCGAGATGTTGGCTCACTAACGCTGCGATCGAGTTTACGATGTTGCTCGATGAGGGTCACCAGGGAGGTGTAGCTACGACGGAGGGGAGTGTGACCAGCATGGTTGGACTCCTTTGGTTTCGATTGTCCAGTGTTCTGAAAGCAGAAAAAAACAGCGGGGATTCATGAGTTTGTCGGTTAGATTCGAAGGTTTGGGGGTCTTTTCAGAGAGGAGGCTGAGTTCATTTCAGTTTGTCATGAGTTCTTGATGAAATTCTGTTTTCATCGAGAAAGATTATCTTTCTCTTTATGATTCGGCCTTTACACGAATTAGATTAATCAACTGCAGTTGCATTTCTTTGACTGTTTCGAGGGACTTGTGGTTGAGAAACATTGAACATCATACTCATGTGAAAGGTGCTGCGCTCGACGCATTTTCATTTTCTCACACGCTATCATTCTTCGTCAATTTCTCATTAAATATACATTTTAATTAATATTTTTGTTGCTTTAGATTACGACTCGGTCGTTTGCTATCAACGTTAATTAATTACTCGTTAATTCTTCGATACATCATTTTGTTTTTTTCATTTTCGTGAATGTTGTCTTCTGAGACGCACAGAAAGCGAGAGAATGAACATTTCTGTCGATTTATTAAGGAAAAATTTGTGATAAACAGAAGGGATATATAATATATATCAATATATAATATTGGGCGTTACAAAATTAAATAATCGTTAAATAGATAAAGACGATAAATTCGGTGATTAATAATTAAATTGTGGCTGGAGACAGCCCTAAATTGAAATCATTCATATTTATGTACTTTCATGAACAAAAAATTGACGGGAGATGGAGCCTTTTCAATCAATTATCGATGGATTTATGTTCTCATGTAAAAAATTATCCAAAGACATGACGTGCGGAGTAGAAAACAAGTGGGATAGAATTAGACGTTAGATAATAGAAAAAAAATTGTTACAATTAATTAATCGTAATTGTTAATTGATCATTAGTGGCGTCAATAGACGGAGATTAAATTGACTTTGCCATTTTGCTCTTCACTATTCAAAAAAAAAATAATAGTAATGAGAGATGAAATCGCTAATTGGCGGTGGTCTACTCCTTTCGTTATTGAAAATTGAAAATAATTGAAATAAATCGAGACAACTGAAGCACGAATAAATCACATCACATGGCTTATACTTTCCCCTGAAATAATAATTATAGACAAAAACGAGATGTTCTGAAATCATAGAAAACGATTGGCGATTAATGATTTTGTCGTTGACACTCAGGGATGACTTTATTTTACTATGTCGTCAGTTCCTGATGAAGTTTTTTTGATAAATACTTCGTAAACAAGTTCTGATTCGTCTTCCTTCACCGCTGAAGTCGTATAAGTGGTCTTGAAAATTACAGGTGAACAGTATTGCAGGTAATACTACCCTAATGACTCTAATGATTCCATTACCCACTGCACCTTTAATGCACTGTGTAAAATTTTGGGATTGTCATTAGAGATGAAAATGGGTATTTCCAAGAGGATTTCAGGGGGAAACTGGAGGGACAATGGAGAGAACCGTTAAGCTATCGTTAGCAGGTAGAAGAGAATCAGAAAGGTTGCTGAGGGTGGATCGTAAAATCCCAATGGTTTTATGGGTTTCTCTACCTTTTTTCTACCTTGGCGGGTTCTAGTACAGTTTCTCGGCGCCTTTTTCTTTCTTCGGGGTGTCGATTGCCGAATGGTTCCAGTTGAGAGTGAAGTTTTGTCTGATTCGATACGAACTCCCCACAAGCGACTTTTCGGAGTTTTTGGAATAATGAACGGATTTAGGACGGCAGTAAAGATAGTTATCAGATCGGGTTGTTCAGGGTTTCATAACCTCTTTCACGGAGTTGATTAACGACGGATAGTCCATGGTTTTGAAGAGTGGAGTCGAGATGTGAGACTATTTCGAAGGTTGTATAAAACGAAACTAAAACCATTTGTAGAGTTTCTCTCGAAACGAGTACGAATCGCTGTCTTCAATCGTCAATATCTTCTGACTAAACGATGCGATTTGAACTTGTCGAATCTCTTTTTAAAGCTTGAAAAAATGCCTTCAAAACGAAAGAAAGAACGAGAAATTCGACTCTGCGGTTCTTGAAATATTGACGATCAAAGACAATACGATTGGATCAATGTTTTGGCAAGAGTTAATAACTGTTGATGCACATAACGAGGTTGAAATCGCTGTAATTTCTAACGCTACGCTGCATTAGGTGGATTGTCAGTTGAACGGTAGTTCTAGCGGCCGTTAGCCTAGATTATATCTAGCGTTGGACCGCTCTCCGAAGATCCTTTCAGCTTTAATTGATGAAAGAAGTTTCATAACTTTTTCGACTGACAGGTGATGAAATACGAACATCAAATATGTTTGATGCCCTTCTCCTGTCAGATTCGGTACTCCTCTTTTCAATCAATTGTTTACAACCATTCTCATTTCAAATAGCGATACGACCGACGAGCATCACACAATGAAGGCTTTGCTCATGTTCTAATTCCTCTGCTCACTGAACAAGATTTGAATCATAATTACAATTAAATTCCTTCTAGAACACACTTTGGAGTGTGAATTTCTGGAATTCAATGTTTGTTGATACTCTGGTAAAAGTGCGTGCCCACACTGTTATCAATTTTTCGTTAGTTTACACGGTAATTCAATTAATCTGTTGTTCATCTCATCAATATAATTCCGTGCTTAGAATATTGTCATCTCGTGTTTTTCAGCACCAAATTAAAAATTAAAACTTCATTTGGAATATTGAGTCACAGCTTCTGTTTATTCATATCAGAAATTTTGTATTTGGATATGAATATTATTTGTTCAAAGTGAAAGAATCGATCATCATTTTCACTGTATTGCATTCAGATTCTCCTATCCTTAACGTCAAAAATGTGAGATAATCTCATGATTCTAGCTATTAATTCTAATCAACTTTGTTCGAAGAAAACCTTAGTAAACGCAATATTAAGAAAGTCGAATTATTCTGTTTTCCACTGACCTAAATGATTTGGATAATTATGATTCGTTTATTCATGTTTCATAGAATGATATTCAATTCTCTTTTGTTTGCTAGGCGGGCTTCATGAAAATTCGACGCAAGACGATTGTACTCATGAAAACCGCCTTACTTTCTCCATTCGTTCGACACGCCCATGCCCTTTTTTAAGGAAGGATACATGATTGGATGGAAGAACATTGAGATTAATGTCAGGTCGCAATGTTGTCCAGATCAGCTGAACAGACAGCAGAAGACATCAACAATAAATTCAATTTTGAGAGCGAGGGACGAGGAATAATTGAATCTGATACGCAGAGGGATTCAATTTCCGTCGGGTCTTTTCTTCATACATATTGAGAGAAAAATAATAATTCGAGACACGTGAGTTCTACAGTCAATGCCGTGGCCGATAACCATCGACGTAAACACGGGAGAATTTCCATACGAAATCTCTCGGTAAAAAGAAAATACTGGGGGGTTTGTGATGCAGGCCCGCGGGGCCTTTTGGAGGGCTTAATTTATGCGCGTCTCTTGGCCTCTGGCTTGGCATGTTTTTGGACGCGGGCTGTCCCTTCCAGACGTATCTCAAGATGCACTTATACCTGGGAAATTTCCAAGCACGTGTTCAACAGTGCGTGTCCTATTACCTGGGCTCCGGTCATTTTCTTGTATACCCGAGGCGTTTTGCGTGAGTAACACAAAAACCGGGATTATTAGCGACTTTTGTTGGATTTAATGGATGGAAATTTTTCATGAAACATTCAACAACAATTTTACCCCTCAATAAAAAAAAATGTTGATGGAGAAAAAAAATTTTAAAAGAAAAAATTGTTGATTTTGAGTTATGAGAGAAGTTTTTTGTTTCATTATCATAAATAATAAATTTTCAGTCATCAGGGTTGTGATGAATCTCGTATCGTAAAGATTTAGAAATTTTAAATTGTCGGAATGGAATAAATCCAAAACTTTTTTCTTCCACTCGATTCCTTGAAAATGACAATTTATTGTTAATGATGGGTTTTTATCTCGATAACGAGTGGTTTTAATGGGAAATGTGAGAAGACATATTTGTTTGAAATTCAATTCTCTAGAAATTATATGCATGATATTTCCTCTGGAAACCACTTGTTCTCGAAATAATTTTTCATTTAACTGGATTTGATAATGTTTGTTGAATTTAATGAAGGGAAATTTTTTGTGAAACCTTCAACAATTATTTTTCCCCTCAATATCAACGGAAGAGCAAAAAATTGTGGATTTTGAATTATGGGAGAAGTTTTTTGTTTCATTATCATCTAACAAATTTTCAGTCATCAGGGTTGTGAAGAATTTCGCATCATAAAGATTCAGAAATTTTAAATTGTCGGAATGGAATAAATCCAAAACTTTTTTTTTCTACTCGATTCTTTGAAAATGACAATTTATTGTTAATGATGGGTTTTTATCTCGACATTTGAAATTCAATTCTCTACAAATTATAAGCATGATATTTTCTCCGAAAACAGCTCGTTCTCGAAATAATTTCTCATTCAACTGGATGACAAAATATTTGTTGAATTTAATGAATGGAAATTTATGAAACGGTCAACAACAATTTTTCCCCTGAACATTAACGAAAGAAGGAAAAAATAGTTGATTTTGAGTTACGACTGAATTTTCTTGTTTCATAATCGCCTGATAAATGCTCAGTCATCGGGATTGTGAGGATTATTTTCGGTAGATGTTGTAATAGTGGAAATCCGGGTTCTCCCTCCACAAAAAATTAGGAATTCGAAATTGTCTAGTTGAAATAAATCCAACAACACTTTTTTCTGCTCGATTATTTGAAAATGAAAATTTATTGTTAATGATGTGTTTTTTTATCTCAATAATGACTAGTTTTAGGGGGAAACGCGATAAGATATTTTCATTGGAAATTGGAAATAATTTCTTATTTAACAAAATGGAAAAAGTTTGTTGCACATTTACAACATTTTTTTCTAAAATCAGTCGTCTTCGTGATAAGTATTCGTTGAATTTAATGAACAGAAATTTTTCATGAATCATTTAACACCAAATTTTCCCCTATACATCAACGGAAGAGGGAATTCAGTCGTAACTCAAAATCA